ATGAAAAAACATTACTTGTTCCTTTATATTTTAACTATTTATGGTGTGAGAAGTTAATTTGTGTATCCGGTCTTGAAATGGTTTGTTAACCGACAGTACTTATTGGTTTAGAAGGAGTTGTTGAATAAATAAAAACCAATAAGTATTAGTTATTCTTCTCCATCCTGTACTCTCGTATTCCATGAAATTCAACGCAACAACCTTGCAACTGTTAGAAACAGCAAATATTAATGCATGATATTTAATCATTTTTTATTTTAAAAACACTAGTTCTGATAATCTTCATTTATATGATGCTTAAAAATTTAAAAAGGTACTTTCCGTGGCGTTTCAACACCACAAATTATAAGTTACTACGTAAATATAATAAAATAAAAAATGCAAATAAAATAAAACGGCATGAAGAGAATTAACTATTTATGATCATGGCCTCACTAAATTCGAATTGCGTATTATGCAATGTTAACATGTGACCTCCAAGTTGTTTGTAGGTCAGTCATACTAAATTAGTGAAGAAGCGACCTTTGAAAAGGCAAACTAAGAGAAGTGCCAACTTTGCAAATACTCGTCTCAGTGTCCTGAAGAAACACCCAATCCAGCACTGCAACCGGCCGCATTGGAGTATGCAGGTCTAGGAGAATATTTGACCCAAGGGAATTTAAGTAGCTGGAAAATGGAGGTAATTTACCTACGGACCATAATTTGGTTAAAACAGGCAGTAAAGTATTATTCAGCTAGTGTGCATGTACCTTAAATGGGGAAAACAAGAAATTCATCCAGAATTTTGATGGTAAACCCTGAAAAGTGACAAGTTGTAACACCAGAAAGGAAATCAATGACACGTACGATTTCAGGTTCTCACGGCGGCGATTATTAAGATGGCTGTCTTCTGGGATGTTGTGAGTGTATTCCGGTAGGACGATGTTGGAGCCAGTAACACTCTCGGAAACGTAGATGAATTTCTGCCAGACTAAACTACGTAACGCACCAGAAGACAGTCATACTGAAACAGATGATACTATTAAAATCAATATTATGGAAATATATTTTGAGAGTTTATAGTATCAGACATCGGCCTTTGATATTCCCGGCCTTGGATTTTCGTGTATAACTACATTTCTATTTGTGCCTCTAAGGATATTAATGACTTTAGAATAACTCTCTAATTTAGACCCGAAGTTTCTATATCACTAATAAGTCATCGAAACCCACCATTGGGAACAATGCTCAGTGAGTTCCGTCCACATATCATCCTTAAAACCTATTTCCCCAAAATCCAATCTTAATGTTGACGTCCTCCTCAGTGATTCCCCACCCAAGGAGTCACATCGCGTGTCTTAGTATATCCTGTTCCTGTCCTGCAGATCTCTGAAGTTCCTATCGTGTTTACCAGAGCCCGATGTTTGGTTCAATCCTGAGGTAGAAAAATCCACAACTTCATATCACTTTCTGAAAGGTCCGCTCTAACCCACTGAAGCTGAAGCTCTACTAAATATTATTTAAAAATTAAGTCCGAACGGCAAAGAAAACACAACGCTTCTTCATTACAAAGACCATCTAGTTAGTGTTGTTTAGGTAAATGATCGCTCTTTAATCTGAGAATCATATAAAGCCCGCAATACCCTATCTACTGTGGAAAAAATGCAGAGTTGCAAGTATCTTCAGGAGTCCTGTGCAGTGAAGCACAGTCGGAAGGGCGAGCAATGCTAAAAACACACAGAAAAACGATTAACTGGTTTGCTACTTTTTGTTGAGTAGATGTGGCAATACGTGTGGAAGGATCATGACCCCACTTCTTTAATTATTTCCAATAACAAGGTCAAGTTTATAAGTAAATGTACAAACAGTTTCACAAACATTGACTACTAATAAAAGGTCAGCCAACACGAAGTCTTAACCCCTTCATATTACATCTGCAGCTGACAAGCTGATCAGAGTTGCTTAGCAACAAACAAACAAGAAAGGTTGTCTCCCGCCCTGCCAGATTCCTGACGTTTACGATTCATTTGTCGTATTGACAATGTTGGTTCATTTGATTTTATTATGCTATTATCAACTCTGAAATTTATATATTGTAAAGCGAAGGTAATTATGAATGATGTAATGCAAGTAATTTAGAAAATAAAGTAACTGCTGGTATATAACACTCGGGCCTATTACGTAAAACGCAAGACTAGGAGTGTTTAAATATTACAGTATGTAACTATGATAATGGTAATTTATTTAAAACATATTTTCAATCAACAACATCACCGTTTGGGCTGCCCGACAAGCCTTAGAGCTCCAGTCGCCCTGGAGCACGTGGACAGAAGCATTTTGCTGTTGGCAGAGGTGATAGAATGTTCATACTGCGTGGTACATACGGTTCAGTAGTGTGCTCGCTTTGGACTGTCATTTCTCTGATACAGCACCACCAGATTTCCACCTTCAGCAGGTGAATACCCGACGAGACAATGACTGACCGACGAACTTTCTGGAAACAGAACCCGCTACTAGACACGATTCAGGGGCAGCTGAACCCTTCTTCCATCCCCTAAAACCTGCTCCCCTAATCTCTGTCCAACAGCAGCTTTCCGAGATTCCCTACCGAAATTTTGTATCACTACTGGCCTCCTCCTCCTCCGAGCTACGTGTCCAGCATTTCTTAGCACTAACACGAACTTCGCCGTAATGTGATGCCTGTATCCTAAACTGCCTACTTTGTCCATTTGGTTAAGATATTTTATTGGGCACTTCGACATGACGGTCGCGTTGTTTACTCTTGTTTTTCAAATAGTATACTGAACATTCCTAAACGAGGTACTCATACATTCATAAAACTAAACTCCGTTGATAAAACTAATTATGCTGTATTATGTTAAAATTTATAGCATCTTGCACTGGCGTTGAGGCCGCGCAAGGGTTATCTTACTGGTAGATGTTGACAGTTCCGTAAATACACTCAAATTCAGATCACGAAGTAACATAAAATTAAATTTGTGTTGTCTTCTTTACTTTAGCCGACTGGAGAAAAAGGAGATAAATAGACTGACTGAGAAGCCTCGTAGTGAGACATAAATTTAGGGGTCTGGTCTCGAACCACGAAACTGGCGCCACTACGGTAGCACGTGACAGTCAGTCATGGTCAACATGATCCCAGGTCACCGACACGCGCCAAGTAAACAGGCCGCGATGCAGAGACCTACTTTCCCACCTGGCATTCAAAATTACCATAATGTTTGTACCCAAGACAGACAACGCACAGACCGAATACAACATACACAACGAGGAGACCTGGTATGGTTAAGACATACCCCGGCCTGCGCAAAAGTACACTACAGGTCTTGACTGATACTTTGGTAATTCAATAACGTTGTTCCAAGTGCAAAGATTGCAAAGTATCGAATGATGTCGGAAGATTGTTGTGAATGGTGAGTAGTTAAGGGCTGAAAGAAACGATCTTCACATGCTTCAAGGCACTATTATACGATATTCACCTCTGCAGACTGATGAAAACTACGAAAGCCCTGTCAGCATAGCAAAACTCGAACACTTCACTTCCTAAATGTACGTTTAGAGCGTCGCGGCTGCATCGGCCTAAAGACAAACCATTTACAGATTGTGCGTTTGTTAAGAGAGGCCGATGAATTGGCTGAGAATTCTGTAAACTAAAAGGAAGATACCGCTAATATTCGAGAAGTAAAACTTTCAGAAAGAGACGCTCAGTGCCGTATGAAATATCACTGATGATGCAGACGAGCAGCTAGAAAATGACTTGTTGAACTGTGACACAACACTTTTAGTCATGACACAAGGAAACAAATGTTTCCCACCTTGTGTTAATTACACAACTGTAGGCCCTACTAACAGAAACGCAGTTCTGTAATGGAAGAAGTGTGCCACATTTTCCCAGAGTTTGGGAACTTATCCTTAAGGTCTTTAGAACTTCACGTGTTTCTGAAATTGAAGAAAGTGTTATTTACGGAACAAACTGTCTTTTGTTTCGCTGATGGTAGTGACAGGTAAAAATATTATGTTAATTCGGCTACTCCAAAAAGTGTTGGACAGTCTATTTTAACCTTTGCATCAAGAAAATTTATGCTGCTGGCTTTATTGAAATCTTCTAAACGACGTAACATCCGGCACCGTGTACTATTAATACAACTGTCGCTCGACCTTCAATTACATAAATACGATTAAGTGCCGACGTTCTTTCGAAGGAAATACACGCAGAAACCAATTACGGTGACCTTGTAGGTAATACACTAAAACGTACAGTGGTTGAGTACTGAAAATGTTCTTTCGTATTTTGTAACTCTTTACATAATATCAAAATGTTTTTCCCTGAAACTGGTAAAAAAATATTGTTCTCAATTACAAAAGGAGGGGAGCCTTGTGAATTTAACGTTATCAGACATGATAGTGCATATAAATACGCTGAATACTGAGTATCTAAGTAAGAAAGATGGAGAAGCAAGCTAAATTATTAACAACTCACTGTTTTCTAAATATATTACACTATTACTTACACAAAATTTCACGTTATCCC